CACACTCAGAGTTTTGCAGTAAATACAAGCAGTCAGGAGTGTGTATGACAGGAATGTCTGTTTCCACAGGAGGAATGGAAATAATGATGTCACCCTGGAAGGAATTATCTCACCTGCTGATAGATTTCTTGCTTGTAGCAGATGTAGACTGATCTTTGTTCACAAAAGCTCTGACACTCGTCTCTCTGCTGCCTCTAACATTTCACTTCTGTGCTGGAAAACCGCCAAAAGATGGAGAATACAAAGTATACTGAAAAACAAGTGCTTTAATCGCAGTACAAATGAAAATACTCCATTATTAGTTAAGTCCTGCAATTAAAATTGTACTCTAACCTGCAATAACTGATTTTCTGAATGTGACACAAGGGAAAAAGAGAAAGGCATACTTGTCCACTGGCAAGGAGAAAGGTGTCTATCAGTTTAAACAACCTGCATATACACGCTAATTTTGGCCAACAATTGTGTAACTGTGTCTGTCTGCAGTTCTGGGCTGACCAGTGTGTGGTGTATTCAGAGATTCTTACTGAAATGACACTGTTAGAGTGGTGAGAGAGAACCAAAACAGTGAAGCTGCTGCCAGACAGCTAAACAACTTAAAGCTGTAAAGCTGCGGGAGCTGCAGATTTGGGTGATGATTCTTTAAAGATTCATAAAAGAAACCCCTTTCACATTTCTGTCTTCATTTGTCATTGTTATTATAGAAAAAATATAAATTAAATATCAGATATCATTATCAACTTTTGAGCCACTTTTAAAAAGTGAAATAAAAAGAACACACACTGCGTTCTTTATTGATCTCCCTGGGTGCTCCACTGTTTCATTTTAGCACTCCATGAGGAGGAAAGAAGCCACTGCGAGGAAAGAACAGGCAGCTTCGCCCAAAACAATCCATCAAAAAGAAGTTCACCGATGACTAAAACCCCTCATGACACCTAAAAATACTCTTTAGCAAGAGAAGTGGCACAAAGGCCACAGGCAGTGGTAGACATGGCAAGTAGGAAAAAGTCACTTTGTCATCCTTCATCTTGTTTTCAACAAGCTGAGGAGTTCATTTATGGGGAATGATGAACCGAGTCCATAACCTGAGAGCTTGTTCTCTGCAGTGGAGTGTTCTGCCAGCTCTGTTACGGAGTAGACTCTATATTGTCTTGGCTTTGGTCCACCGAACCCTTAAAAGAAATAGGTTATTACCTGTGAACACACTGACAATCCTGATTGATCATCTTCAGACAAAAATGTATTTGCTGGGGAGTTGAGCCTTCATGACAAAACTGACCCTTATTCATACTTCGATTTAATGTAGAAATGATGTAAACAACACATGATAAGAAACAAATGATGTGAAAGTTATGAGCTCTCTCTAGACATTTTATTTGGCAGCTTCACCTGTGGGCCACTTTAGACATAACACAGAGGCTTGTGATTGGTAGTGCAGAAATTCGATCTGCGTCCAGGGCTCAATGTCTTTTTGTGTCACATTAGAGGAAGAGCTGAAGGGGAGCAAGTTGTATTTATGCTATAGTCGTTTTACAAGGGAACAAAGAACAGATAAAAGCAATACTGAGAGAAGGAGACTTTTACAATATCCTCAAGTATTTAACTTCTTTTATATTGGACACTTTGTTACTATCCATTTTGACTTTTCTTCTTGCCGTCATACTTTTCAGAGTGAATTGGTCGCATCTCACCAATCTCTGAATTGCTCATTTACATTCATTAGTTTGAGCTCATTGATACTGTAGGTGCAATGTAAACACACACCCATTACCAGACGCGTGTTTGTCAGAACAATAATGAGTGGAAACGGCTCATTTGCACGCTAATAGTCTCATGATATTCAATTTGATGCCACCAAGCTTTCAAATACCAACTGCTCAACAGTTTTAGCTATTGCTCTCAGTAAGGTCAACATGTGGACACCCACTCTCAGTGCAGGAGTGTTGACCCCTTAAACCTAGCCTTATTTATTGCATAAGACTTCCTCATTGGTAATCAACTAAAAAATAAAATCAGTGTTTATGATCATTACGCAAATGCCAATGGTCACCATTCACTTAGGTCACTGTTTTTTGCGTCTTAGTTCAGAAGACGACTGGCTTGACGTTATCCTATTGCCCAGCAGAGGGAGCTAAAAGATCAACAGCAGAGCCCTCAGCAGGCCTGTCTTGAGGAGAAATATGCACGCAGGGGTGGCAGCATAATGGGAAAATGTCTTTATTCCCTCATCTCTCATGTGGTGACAGGCAGAACTTTAGGTTGCCATGGAGAGAGCTGCTGAAATGGGGCCATAATTAACAGAGCCACAGAACTTGGCTCAATGACACATTACATTTCGAGAAGTTAATGAGGAAATCACAAAGCTCCTCGAAGGCAAATTACTCTGTATGTGCATAATGTGTACATGTGACAAATGTTTGGAGTCACATTACGAGGTGAATATTACTGTACACTGCTGCGGCCGTTTCTGCAGGGCTAATGATGAGCATGTGATCTGCCCTGTGCAGGCTAGTCGAGGACTGAATGTGTGTGTCTGCGTTTTTGAGACTGTATGTGTGTATAAAAGAGTGTGTGTGTGTGTATGTGTGTGTGTGTGTGTGTGTGTTTTTGTGTGTTTGACTGTGTTGAGAGAATGACTAACCTCCTTGTCAGAGAGACACAAAACGTATGAACATTTTCTCAGTTGTCACACACATACTGTATACTCTCCAGCTCCTTGCTCCAGATGTACTTTGGCATCTCTCTCTCTCCCTCAAATCCTCTCAGTCTCTTTGCCTTTGCTCTCCATGAGCTCCAGCTGCCCCTGGGGAGGCTTCTGTCACAGCTAAGGGCCAACAGTGGGCCTGCTCGGGGGTTAACAGAGTAGCTAAGTACACAGGAAAAGTCGCCCAACCACCTATAGACCTGCCAAGAGCACTTCAGCACAAACCGTCTGACACAATTTATCTGAAGGATGTCTGGAAAATCCCACTTCACTCTCTTGCTTAGATAACACTAAGGCCACTGGTGGGCTATGTTCCCCCTGGAAATGCAGAGGCAATACAGCGGTTAGAATGCCAAAGGTGCAAGGAGTCAGAAGAGCAGAGCAGGGTGCAGTGAGTAAGCAGACTTTAGGCCATGCCGCAGACCAGCCGAGGCCAAGGGTACAGCCCTCGGGCCCCAGCCTGCAGGGCAGACTCATCTGCACCAGGTAACAGGGTCAGCCAAAGAGAGAGGCAAGACCGCTTCTCTTGGCCTCTAAATATAGGCCTTTAAGCATGCTTCTCATTCTTAACTGCCCAAAAAATAATGAACAATCTGAAAATGGTTATTCTCGCATTTCAATTAGCCTAATTAAAGAGAGGGCAGCGGGCTACTCAGAAGAATGACAAGCACCACAGTACAGTGTGCATTTGCAGGTGTATGTGTGAGTGTGTGCGAGTGAGAGAGAAAGTGAGAGACTCTCCAAGGGGTTCAACTGGAACACTGCATCAGCAGTCAGAGAATGAGAAATTAACCATTTGCTTTCTCCCCTCCACAGCCTAAAGCAGATACACAATCTGGTCAGCGTACTGGCTGCCAGAGAAGATGCAGCATCACACAGCGTCTCCATCAATGTGTCATCAATCATTCATATCACTGATTCTGTGGTCTGAATTCAGTTATTCAGTTATAATACTGGCCAAAAGTGTGCTTGTCTCTAGCTGGCTGCAGTGAGAAAATTGTGCGTTTTTTTCCATACGGATATGAAGGAGATGCTGGTAGTGAAAGAGTTAAGCGTAAGTTCAGCATCCACTCTGACAGTGAGAGCCAGATGGTCATGTAGAGCACTTATAGTGACATGGGCCTACACAGCTCCCCCTGCTGGAACACACACACACACACACACACACACACACACACACACACACACACCTAATTCTAATTTGCATGCAAACGCACACATGAACATCTCCGGCAGATAACAGCGGCTGTGATTCCCAGGTCATTTACCCATCTATCTCCCCTCCCTCCTTCTCTCCCTCAACTCTTTTCCCCTTCCATCACTTCCTCACTCCTCCTCTTTCCATTTCCCTCGGTCTCAGTCTGATGGCCAGAGTTAATTGGCTGCTGTCTAATTGCTGCTCATTAGCCTGAGTAACCAAACATGTGAGACGTAGCAAAGAAAACCTTCCTCCGGCTCTCACTCAGCTCTGTGCTGTGTTTTGTTTTTGCAATTCCCATTCCTAGTCATCCCCCTCAACCCCTCATGTGGTTTTTCTGCACATTACGTGCTTTTGTTTGTCGCTTAATCTTTCTCTTTGTTGCTTCACTCACCCTGAACTGGAAAAAATTTGAAAGACAGATGAATTAGTTCAATTTTTAAACCCAATAAACATACATTTTTCCCATTATATTATTGCCTGGTCCCTTTGAAACTCAACAGACATTCCCTTTCATGCTGGCTCTCTACAATGCATTGTAATGTATTTAATGTCAAAATGTTTTCTGCGTAATCTTCTGCCACTGTATCTCCTTTGCCCCCATTTAATGTCTCATACACAAACACACAGGAACCAGCATATGGACTTGTTTACACACAGCATAGAAATCTTCATAATGCACAAACACCCGCCCA